TTCAACTGTAGGTATTTCATATGGAACCATTTGTATGGTTTTACCAACAATTAGGGAAGTAAATCAAGAGGCTCTGTAGAAATTTCAAGTGTTTATTTCTGAGGCAAGTGTAACATTGCTATTGATTGGCTGCCACATTGTGCTGCAGTTGGACTGGCCTTCCCTAACTGGCTAAACTCTTTTAAAAAGTTTATTATTATTATTATTATTATTATTATTATTATTATCATTATTTGGGTGCATGTGAAGGTCAAATTTCCCTTTACGATGTGGGGCCCCAGATCAATTTCAGGTCATCAAGCTTGAGTGAAGTCCTGAGTGAATGTGTATTTTGACATGGGCACGGACTGTCAAGGACTCTGAGACCTATTGGCACATCAGTATGACATTGGCAATGTCATTACCCATATGGGCCAGGCTCAAGAGAGATGTCAAAGCTTTCCTAGGGAGTGTTTATGAATGACTAATCAGCGCATACAAAGACTAACAACTGCAGTTTCCTCCCCTTGGATGTTTACAGCCCGAGACTGCTCACCTACAGAGCCCTGCTACAGAGACTAGCTGATCCCTCCCCGTGCTGTATATAATAAACACACTGAGGAGCCACGTTGTAGTTGTGGCAGTTAGAGAACCCCACCTGATCCCAGCCTCACTCTATGTGTCTGTTCTTTCTTCACCCCAGCCAGAGTTCCGAGACCCAAGCAGAATTGCTGGACCAGATCCTCTTAAACTATTTGGTATTGTTTTTCTGTCCCTTGGCTGGTGCCTCCTTTGTGTTGGCATGGCCTCTGGGAAATCCTGGTAGAGAACTAGATTTGCTTGACCTTGCAGCCCGTAGGCATTAATGTCTAAGCCTATGTTTATTATTTGCTTTCCTGAATGGACACATTTCTTAGAGAAAGACCATACTAGAACTTAAATTTTATGGAACATGAGAAGATAAGGATCAGAAAATTTGTGGATGAGATTGATAGAAAAATGGAAGATATACTTTGACAAAGAGAAAATGGAAGGGTAAATGCGCCACTGTATCTGTCTACACAGGAAAAGAAAAAAGAGGGCAGGAAATAGTTTTAGAACTCTGACCCCACGCAGTTAGTTCCATCTGACCTTCCTGATGGACAAATTTGTCTCCAAGGCATAGTCTCCAAAACTTCAGTGAGCCTGTCTCTTTGGGGAACAGGTTCTTCAGGTACTAATTCCTCTCCAGCACTTGCTGCCTCTCTTTGAAATGTGAGGAAATGCTTTATACTCACCATTAGAGAAAGACATAAAAACACATATTGAAAAGCTGGTCGGAGGATTAGATAATGTGATATCTAAATTAGATAATGTGTCTGAAGGTTTCAGCCATCTGACGACATACAATAAATAAATACTAAAATACAAGATGGGAGTGGGGGGTGAATGGTACTTTTAGAGGTTTGGCTGGGCATTCTAAGCCAACAGCTTTGGTGTACAAGTTAAAAATGAGGCTTGCTGGGGCTGGAGAGATGGCTCAGTGCTTAAGAGCCCTGGCTACTCTTGCAGAGGACCTGGGCTTAGTTACCAGCCTCCACATGGCAGCTCACAAGCATGAGTTGTGTGCAACTTCAGTTCCAGGGGATCTGACACCCTTTTCTGACCTCTGAGGGTTCCTGCATACACATGGTGCACATAAACTCTGGCACACATATACATGTAAAATAAATATTTTCCAAACCCCCTCAGCATCACCACTGTGAAGTTTGAAAGTTGATGAAAAAGATCCAGATAAATCCAGAGCAGGATTTGATAAATCCAGGATGATTATAGACTCTATTTTTTATCCTTTTGGAAAATAGATTTTATTATATATATATTCCTGTGGTGGTATTGTGTTCCCCAAAATATTGTGCACCCTAATAAACTTATCTGGGGTCAGAGACAGAACAGCCACTAGATACAAAGGCTAGAAAATGGTGGCACTCACACATTTAATCCTAGCACTCCAGAGGTAGAAATCCCTCTGGATCTCTGTGAGTTCAAGGCCACATTGGAAACCGCCAGGCACGGTGACACAAGCCTTTAATCCCAGAAAGCGAGCCTTTAATCCCAGGGAGTGGTGGTAGAAAGCAGAAAGGTATATAAGGCATGAGGACCAGAAACTAGAGGCATTTGGCTGGTTAAGCTTCAGGCTTTCGAGCAGCAGTTCAGCTGAGAGCCATTGGGATGAGGACACAGAAGCTTCCAGTCTGAGGAAACAAGATCAGCTGAGAAGTTGGCCAGGTGAGGTTAGCTGTGGCTTGTTCTGTCTCTCTGATCTTCCAGTGTTCACCCCAATAACTGGCCTCAGGTTTGATTTTATTAATAAGAACTTTTAAGATTCATGCTACATATTCCTTCCCATTTCCCTCCCATCTTGGTCCACACCCCTTTTGTGTCTCATTAAAAACAAACAGGCTTCTAAGGAATAATAAAATATAAGATAAAACAAAAACTTCACTCTCAATGATCTATTTTGACTGTATATTCTAGGAATAGAATTGGTGACCTTGTGCATGCTAAGCATCTTTCCTAACTCTGTTGTTTAAAATGTTAAAACTATGAAGGTCAGCTTCAGGTTTCTTTCAGGCCCTTGAATACAGTTAATCTTAGAACTTGCAGATAGATTACTAATAGCTATATTACAAATGGCTAAGCCTTTTCAATTGCTTTATATTAATTACGCTATAAATTAATCGCCAGTGAGGTAGACAGATGACCATCCTGCATTCTACGTGACACAGGTTAAGTTATAGACTTAACTGGCTAATTTACCAAGGGCCACAGGACACTGCAGGGTATTTCCACTGACATCTTTGATTCTGAAGTTCTTCCTTGCACTCTTAATCCTGTTTCATTATGATCTCCTTTGTTTGGTATTTCTCCCAACTCCTAGGCTAGTTTGATTGTGAGGTATGATTTTTTTTTCTAGACAGGGTTTCTCTATGTAGCCCTGGCTGTCCTGGAACTCACTCTGTAGACCAGGCTGGCCTCAAACTCAGAGATCTGCCTGCCTCTGCCTCCTGAGTGCTGCACCACTGCTAGGCCCTGTTTTTTTTTTTTTTTTTTCATGTATTAAGAATACTTAACATGGTCTCTGGACACCTTAACACGATTTTGAGTGTATGGTAGAGTCCCAGTTAAGGTCAATTGACTGTATAATGAATAGCATGTCTCTAGTCTTTCTGCTGGGATTAAAGGCATGCACCACCACCACCCAGCTTTTTTCCGTATTTTAGTGTGCAAATTTTCAGAAAATTTTCATGCTTCCAGGAATTGAATCCAGAGCCTTGTGCAGGATAGGTAAGCACTATACCATCGAACACAACCAGCCCAAATTGAGCAATCTTTAAGGACCATCTCATTTTTTTTTATTATTGTACTACTGGCCTCAGTTATGGCTTGATTTGAAATAGTTAGGATTTCAGACAATTTTTTAGTATGCCCGTCAGTTTACTGGCATCCAAGAAAATGTCCTTTAAAGTCAGTTGCCTAGAAGCTGCCATAGGCCTTTGAAGAATGTTGCCATTGCTTAGAAGATACTTGTTTAAATTGTTTGGGGGAACACTTTTATGAGCTTCAATAAAGCAACCCTATTCAGTTGGTTCACATGCTACCTTTCTGGTCAGTCTTGGCTGTTTCCAAGAATTTACTACTTAAGTATGCGCTATACATTCTAAAGGCAAGTGCAAACAAGCCATTTCCAAATAATAGTTTAAACGGTGTTTGGACTAAGTAAATGACTGCTGAGAGGACTTGAAGATGATGTCTCATTCAACATTTGAAGCACCAAGATAAACAGTCCCCATTGCAAGGAAGCAGGCTTTTCAGTAGGATCTGTGTAAATAGATACTAACAAACCTTACAGATGTATGTGCCATAATTATCACCAAATACATAGCTGAGAACTCACATATTTGAATGGAGGGAAGGATATGGGGCCGATCAAGAGCTCACCTGAATTTCCAGTTTCCTCAGCTCTTAGGAAGTAACCATGTCTCTCATCTATATCTTAGGCATTGTTTTTGAAGTGGGTCCTGAAGTCTAGGAAATATTGCTGCACTTCTCATCGGATGGCCTATGACTGCTACATCTGTAATAGGTGGTGACTACTATAGTGACCAGTAGAACTCTAGATTGAGAAGTAATTCAAGTGTGTAGGATGCAAACGGCACCAAGTTTTAAAAGTTGATCTATGGCTATGCAGAGACCTACCTTATCTGCTGGCCCACATTACATCAGAACTAAATAAGCCTTATCAAAAAAAAAAGTCTCGTGTGTGTGTGTGTGTGTGTGTGTGTGTGTGTGTGTGTGTGTGTGTGTGTGTATGTGTGTGTAGTTCATGATGAGTTTGGAAGACTACCTGGTAATGCAAGTCTATAATCAAAGCTACTTAGAGGCTGAGAGACAGGAGAACCCCAAAGTCAAGACCAGACTGGGACACAGTTTCAACATTAAAAGAAAAATACAAAAATGGTCCGAGGAGTCAAGCTGAGTACTAGGGTACTTGCCTAGCATTGAGGCCCTGGGCTCAACACTGAGTTTCTGACAAATAGAATCACCACACTAAAAACCCTAGAAAAGTAATGAGACAAAGGCCTACTGCATCAAAACTATACCGAGAAACTGAGTCTGATTACCAGTGGAGAGCTCTGCAGGTGCCACATACAACGAAAATTTTAAGCCAACACTGCCAGTTTTAGGTGTCTAAAAGGGAATTCTACCCACCTATCAGAGTGATGATTTGCTTAGAAAGAACCATGTGAATGAAGGATGTAAACCATTTGAGCTGGGAGACTGACAGAGGATAGAAGCTGCACAAGCACACAGCCACACCCATTCTGTGCAGGAAGGTCAAGCAAGGGAGCAGTCAGGTTAGGAACAGCAGAAACACCTACTTCAAATACTCTAAAAATCGCCTATGTGATTGCTTTAAGATACCAGAACTTTGATTAGTGTCCACCTTTTAAAACCCCAAAGATGAAAAAGCACAAATGATCACTTCATGCATTTTATTGATAGTCTATATTTTAAGTCTGCAGTATGACATTGTACATAGGGAAAAAGCTTCTTCCTAAAAGATAGCTATTAATAATCAAACCAGTTTTAATGAATGACCTTTCAAGGTCTTGTTCTGCATTAAACAAGTTAAATTTTAGCAGGTGTAAAGCACTGTACAAAAAAGTTGGGTACATTCTCAAAATTTAATACAGGGCTTCCCAACCAGGAGTTTGCTGCATCAGATACCGAAGGGTGTTTCATTCCGATTTAAATGATAAGGAAATGAGAAACCAGACATAGCAAGCCAAGCCAATTCACTTCCCTTTGCGTTCCACTGTTGCTTTCTGAAAACGTTTCCTGGAGGTCAGGAAGCCCTGCTATGACAATCACTTTAGCCTTTACGCAGCATGCACACATGTGCTGCATGTTCAAAGACTTAAAGGCTGCCCTTTTCAAAACCTTTCAGCTTCATATGGGCTTCACAGAGCTTTCCAGGATTGCTGCCCAGTTCTTTCCAGGAACCCAAGTAAACATCGATAGCAAAGCAGCTTTTCCTGGGAGAAGACAGACATAGGTCCATAACCAGGCCAGCTGCGTACCTACTCCACCAGACACTTCACAGGGCCCTATACCTTTAAAAGCAGCACCAGGGACAAATGGAGCTATCAAGAGGTAAAATCCAAATGCTGGACAGTTTAAACATATAAAAACCAATCTGTTAAAAAATGTTAGTAACAGGGCACTGAACAGAGTTAAGGCTGGGCAGCTGGCTTGACTAGAAATTGGAACTGGAAACCATCTTCAAGATGAGAAATGAGAAAAACCTTGAAACAAGGCACAGTGGTATGATAGGGTTCAGCTTCACTGCGCATCTCTAGATAGCTGCTAACCCAAATGACTATAAAGCAGCTCTGGGACTTTAGTAAACAAATCCTTGCTGGGTGGGGTGACACATACCTGTAATCCCAGCAATCAGGAGGATCACTAATTCCAGGCCAGCCTGGGCTACAAAACGAGACCCTCTCAAAATACCAAAACAAAAAAGTCCCAAGAATCTCACCATAGTTCTGAGAGTTGAATCCAGACATCTACATGGACATGAAAACAATCATAAAACTGATACTTAGAAAAAAAAATTCCCGGTAGTAATTCTATTCTAAGCTGTGGGCTTTTTAGATACAAACTATGGTGACTTACAGGAGGCCACTTACTTCCTGGAGTGTTGGAGAGTATTTTAGAAATGTTCCAGTGAAGATAAAGGAATCCTTAATTTCAGAGTGCTGAGCTAGATCTGGAGCTACGTTTGGTGACAAGTGCCTGTACTCCCAACATTCAAGAGGCAGTGGCACAAGGAGTGCCCCAAGTTTGTGGCCAGCCTGAGTTCCAGACCAGCTGAGAGTACACAGCACAAGCCCCAACCTCGAAAACTGAAACATTTAAAGGGCAGATATGGAGCTCACAGCCGTTTTGATTTGCTTCAACTGTGACTTAGAAATACTCTTTCCTCAGACCCTGCACTTGAACTCCCCAAGTGAAGCATGATACATCAATGTACATTTAAAAATCGTTTTTTGAAAAGAACCATTTTCTAGTGAACTCAATCACAACACTGTTGCTGAGCATTAAACATACTGAACTGCTAAAGGGGAAAACCAGACACCTTCACATGTGCCTTCCCCACCTGTTACAAAGGTACAGAAAGACGACTTTGGAAAGCAACCATCAGAACTGGCTTAGGACCGACCCTAAGTGCTCTGCAAGCGTGGCTTCCATGTCCTGCATATTTTTGGTAAAACGTGTGACAGGGAAGCCAGTCAGGAAAAAAAAAATCAACTAAGGCAGATTACAAATTATTTCCTCTCACAAAAGAAGTAAAAAGTTTCCCCTATCTGTTAAGAATAATGTCAACCCCAAGGTGCCACTGCATTCTAGCAAACTGTTAAAAAAGGCCTTAACAGTCATTTTGTAATGTTGACCTCTTTATCATGTGGGTATTTGGAGAACTGACTAAAAGTCATAGAAGCAGGTGGTTAAATACAAAACATGCTAAATGCTAACCCTTCATAAATATAAGACATTGACAAAAGCAGAGAATACTTGGCACAGAAATGAAGTTTTCCCAGGAGAAAAACAAAACAAAACAAACCACTGTTTAAGGTAACAGAGCTAACCAGTTTCCTACCTTGGATGGATTCTGACCATCATGTCCTAAAGATTGAGTATCTCCTGGCACTAACACTTCCTTATCAATTGACAATTATCTGCTCCAATGCTAGTGTGTGAGCCTCTCCCTCCCCCCAGTGCCACCTCCATTAGCACAGAGGTGCAACTAACATGGTCTTTTCAGAGATGTGCCAACCCCCCACCCCACAGCTCTCTTCAGTGTTAGTGCAAATAGCCTGCCATTTTTAACTTGTTCAATTCTGTTTTCTGCACTAATCTTAACATTGTAAGCTGTGTGGAATAAAACAAAACACGACAAACCTTCACACTAGTAAGCGGATTAAAAAAAACATTTGAAAGAGTCAAGGAAAGTCAGGCTTTAGTAATTTCCCTATGCTTTGAACAATGTAATTTCCCAACATTATTACTGCATGAAGTTCAAAGTAGGTCTTAAAGACAGAACCTTTCTGTAATAAAGAAAAAGTGCAAAGATACAAAATGAAATGTAAAGTCTTTTGCAAGAAAATGTTCCCTCAAGAATAGGTGTTTGGACACTGGTGAGGAAAAAGATATTCGTTCTTTACTCTATACCTGACACCTATATGAATCTTGAACATCTGCAACATTAGTAATATATAATAGTCATGGGCTTTGTAAAATAAAAAAGCAACGCCTACTAAAAATACTTGGATTCATTCTCTACACAACCCAAAAGATATGAGTGCTATTTGAAAGGGCCCACATGCACGTCAAACATGTGCATTCTACTGAAGGCTAGAAATGGAAAGATTGATTTCCAGTGTTTCTGAATAGCTTCAGCATCTACATTCATAAACAGCATCCTGCTTGAGTTATTGAGTTACCTCTGACTTCAGGACTTCACAAACGAGTAATGAGTTTGAGGAGGTCAGGGAGGTACCTGTTGTCAGTAACTTCATGTTTAGAATGTGCTGCAGTTGTTTTTGAGCTTTAGAAAATGAACATCCCTAACATGGAACATTTTACCAAGAGGAAAATGGATTTGTTTTTAGTTAATCAGGACTATCCTGCAGATCTGAAAACCACAGAAAGGTGACAAGGAGGCTCACAAATATAAATGAATCCTGACTTTTACATGGACAATTCTTTTAAAAAGATAAAAATGTATTACATAAGCGCCATAAACAGTGAAATCTGCTTATATTAAAAAAAATAAGTGAAGCTTTGTTTGGACATTATTTCCTTGCAAGAGCAGTACATATCCTTTGTAAACAACTACCATATTTACAATTGAGTTTCTTTGATACTTAGGTAGGATTGAAAGCCAGAGGAAAACATGAAAGAATGAACTCTGAAATAATCTTTACTGCTAAGGTGATATCAGTGAGAGTAAGCAGGTAATTCCTAAGGCAGATTTGGGTAAAACATTTTCTAGAGTCCTGGACTAATCCGGGTAGTTAGCTCATTTGGTTAAAGGCCAGGGATGTGCCTACTGCATCCAGCTTCTCTTCTGGCCTGGCAGCTTTCCCCAGAGAAACAGCCAGACTAATCTTAACCCCAATCAGCCTCAAAAGAAAACCCAGGCAAGAGCACTGGGGTTATCACAATCTATTCTTACTACTAAAAAACAATAAAGTGCGTGTCCATAGATGTGAGGCAGCCATCTCATCTTCAAATATGGGCAACACAACTAGAATCTGAATTTCAAATAACCCCACATGCCTCACTGTCAATAAAAAATCTCTCAATTTATGAATAGGTCTTTAAAGGTGGCATGTTAGATCTGCTAGATACATCAATGAAATACTGACAAGTGTGCACTAGTACCTTACATGATAAATCTCGAAAACCAGCAAATCCGAGACTTTTCCAATAGCACACCCATCCGTACCAACTGAAACCCTTACTTTAAAATTGGTTTAGTCTTTCTCCTTCCGCCACCTTTCCTTGTTTGGGGGGCAGATTGTAAAAACATCCAGTGAACTTGTGCTAGGCGGCGGTGGTCCGTTGTCTGAAACCAAAGACAGCGCTGCCAAACGATCGGCTTCATCTACTCAAGTGGACTTCTGGGTCCAGCTGCTGTGGCTGTCACCGTGGGACACCAGTTCATGTCTGTATTACTGTCATCATGAAAATGTGCCCCCACTCTTCAGAGCTCTTTTCTTTACCCTCATCTATCATTTCCTGCCTAAACCCAAGTTAAAATGCACAACCTCCATTGGTCTCTAAAGCAGTGTGATTCTGCATGGTCCTTTCCTTTTCATGTCACAGTAGCTGTTCACAAATACATTAAATATAGATATGTTCTGCTCTTGACATCTACACACTTACAAAAGCAGCTTCGTTTGGTGTGTTTGTTATACTATGCTGGCTCACAAAAAGCAGTTCTCATTTCTAAGCATGGTACTTTACAATTTTGAATGCATTAATACAAGAGTGCATTGGAAAAGTACTGAGCCTCTACAAAATAGCTTTACATTTTTAAACAAATGAATGTGATTTTTTTCACTTACACAAGCATAGGCTTTTTTTTTAATATTTCCACAAGATAAATATCTCAATTAAACTATAAGTTCACTCTATTGTGTGCCACAGTGATGGGCTTAGGACAGTTAATACACTTAGAAGATCCTAACTGTTTAGTGTTATTTACACAGGTATGTCCATCATCACCTACTCTGGAAGGTGAACAAACAATATTCAGAATGTGACTGAATTGGTGTCAATAACTGGGAATGGTATTGTTTTAATTAATCACTTACAAAACACATAATGGAACTTAAGTCTTGAGTGGGAATTTTCTTCATGCCTCTCTTATGGCCTGGGAAACTTTAAAAAGAGGTCAACATGTAGAGAAAGGAGCCACTGCTAAGGCAGACCTTAAGATAACAAAGGGAAAAATGACAAGTGGATGTGGGTAAATTATCAGTAACAGGTTAGCAATTATCTGGTACCGAAATCAAACATTTAAGTCCTAAAACATTGCTTTTGAAATATTCTTTTCATCCTGAAAGAGAAACTAAAGACATGATTCCCTCAGAAAGCAATGACTCAGGTTCAGGTTGTGACTTTATATTTAAGCACCACTCAACAAAGTGGACATAAAGCAAGTAATTTGTTTGCCCATCACTATTCCAGCTACACAGCTCAGAGTTCTGTTATTACACAACACTTTCTCTGTTCCCAGAAGACAAGACTGCCCTGCGACAAATGGGACAGGTGGAATTCTCCGATAACCAGCGGTCGATGCAGTGGACGTGGTACTCGTGGGAGCAAGGTAGTTTACGAAGTTTGTTGCCTTCTGTGTATTCTGTAATGCAAACACTACATGTTTTCAATGCATCATTTTCACCAAAACTTCTCATTGCCAAGTTATCGATCTGTTCTTTGGTAAGTCCTCTAGGTTGGTCGTCGTCATCCTCATTTAAGAGGAAAAACTGAGCCAGACTAAGGAATGGCAAAGAACCACTTTCATCAAATGCAACTGGGGCCCTATGTCGACCATCTCTCCTGGCACCTGCTGGGCCAGATGAGCCTCCTTCATTACTGCCTTCGAACATCTCTGAGCTACTTTCTGAACCTTCACCACTGGAACTGGGGCTAGGGCTAGAGCTGGAGCCGGAACCAGAGCTGTTACCACCGGAGCTCCCTCTTCCATTCCGTGACTCTACTCTCTCCGAATTTCGACTGGAGACTGAGGCACTAGGCTCTGAGTCACTGTCACTGTACATAAAGTAGCTTAGCTCACCAAAACCTGTCATTATCTGCCTTAACATGGTTTGAATCGCAACAGATGTAGTTTCACTCAAACCAGTATTTAAGATTCTGCGAATGGGAATCCTGATAGTACTGACATAGGTTCTCACACCTGCACGCTCAGAACGTGAAAAGGTGCGCCTAAAACCTCCACGTTCACTTTCATACGTGACTGTGTTGTTTGGTGTCTGAGACCTTGACCGAGTTCTACTAGCTATGCTATCTCTCTGCCGGTATTCTCCTGGACGAACTCTTCTTACTTGAAGATCAAGGACTATGGTCGGAGGTCTTTGACCAGATCCTGCAGATTCACCACTGGTACCTGTGTCTGAAGAACTTGTTCCTTGAACGGCATTTCTTGACCCAGAAGCTGCAAAAAGACCTCTACCTAGTAACTCAGGTCCAGTTATCTGCTGTCTCAGGGTCACATGGTGACGGGTTCTAGAACTTCCCTCAGTCTCATTTACTAAAGGGTGCTCGAAAGTCTGAGATGAGATACTATGATGAGCTCTTCGTGGAATTTCACTTGTTGGGTGCAGAGGTGACCTACTTCTTTCAGCTCTAGCTCTGGTTCTCCGGTGTTCTGGGCTCCGGCTTCTTGCCCTCCTCTGACCTCTGGTGGATGGCACTTCTATGAATGCTTCAGTTAAATTGCGTTCTGACCTAGATGATCTGGCAGATGATGCCTCAGATGCTGGACTTTCTATTTGTCTTTGGCTGCTCTGTTCCATGTTTTCTACACTAAGACGTCTAGCAGATGGTTCATTTTCATTCTCTGGGGTTTGGCTTCCATTATTACGGTTAACATTTATCTCTAGACTGAATCTGAAATCACCACTGTTTGGATTAGTCCGGCTCACTGCTCTCCAGGACTGATTTCCTCTCTGGCCACTTCTTGTGGTATTGCCAGTCTGTCTGACAGAGTTAAGCCAATCTATTATAGAGTCACCGTTGGACATATCATCTGAAGAATCTCCACCTGTTTAAAACAAAGAAGGAGGAGAGAGAGAGAGAGAGAGAAAGGAACTACAAAAGTTAGGACAATGATATAAATAACATTGAAGAATTCTGCAATTCTGAACCAATTTTACATTTACAGGTCTTATACTGTATGTAACACTGATTTCTAAGTAAAAAGCAAAAAAATCAGGTGTTTGAAAAGAGAAAGCTAAGAGTAATAGAACTTTATTTTCAGAGGGGATCTGGAAGAAGTTGTTTCCACTATTTCATGAGAGCCTGTAATGGTTAATGGTGGTTCTCAACTTGTGGGTCTTGACCCCTTTGGGGGGGGGTGTGAATGCCCGTTTCAGATATCCTGCATATCAGCTATTTACATTACAATTCATAACAGTAGCAAAATTGCAGTTACAGAGTAGCAATGAAAACAGTTGTATGGTTGGAGTCAGCACAACATGAAGAACTGTATTAAAGGGTCACAGCATTAGGAAGGCTGAGAACTGCTGCTCTAGGAGCTGTGAGGCTGAGAAGGCGACATGTTTTTCCTAGTCCACTGTCCAAACAAAATCGAACTATATAATCGCTAGTTGTGGGGGTTAGTGTTGGTATTTTGGTTCCGATTATATTTCTACCAAATTTTCAGTCTCTATTACTTCATCTAGGGACCTAGCTTAAGTATCTTTGATAATATAAAGTTACTTTAAAATACAAGAATTTTGTAGCCATAGCAAAAACATAAACAAGGTTAATGGTTTATAATTACTTGAAGATTTGTCAATATCAAGATCTTAAACTACCATGACAATGAAGCCTGTATCAAATGAACAGCCTGAACCTAGAGTAACAGCATACTCAACAGTAGGTTCACAAACTAATCTACCACCACAGCTCCAAGGTTCCAGCCAATCCCTATTTCCTGTGCAGAGGAGCACCAGGCCCGAGGTTAGAGCCAGCTTGCTTAGCAGCAGCGCTGATGCTCTGAACCAATGAATGCTGGGAACTGTGCTGTGCACTGTAGGGTATCAGGATGGTTCGCAGTATACCTGCCCTCTCTCTGCCTGCTAGATCCTAACAGCAAACCCTCAGCAGTTGTGTCAACCAGTCTCTAGTCACTGCTAATACCCCAGGGGAACAAAATTACACCCACTAGAAAGGCACTAGGGCAGACAAAGCAGCATTTCTTTTCTGCTGATGAAGCCACATTTATAAACAAGGAACTAAGTAGCAGGAAATTTCAATGGCTGTGGAAAGCCAAGGGGAGGAAACCTCATTTAAATAGAGTACTTCTCACTGTGGCCCAATTAACACAAACAATCCAAAGGTGAGGCAGAATAATACAGCATGCTGACATTCTCACCAAATAGCAAGAAAATATCACTTCTCTTTTTATGAACAGTTACTTATCACCAAATTAATTTGTGGCATTTCAGGATAATCTTTGGTGACATTTACTATTATGAAGTTCCTATCATTCCACCCACTACCCACCTCCCAAAGCAAAATATACCTCTATTTTCATCTGAGCTCTGTGGTGGTGGGCCCTCTTTAATTTGTTGTAGTCTTCTGAGCAACTCCTCCTCAGTACTTTCTCCTGGAAGGTGAACAATGTTTGCCAAATTACAAATGAAAATCAGCAAGTCGGTTTCTGTCTTTTTTCCACCCTCATGATTCTTTTTGAAGAAGGGTTCATTCAGGCTGGCTTTAAACTCAACAACCTCCTCCTGCCTCAGCCTCCTGTGCAGCTGGGATTACAGGCACATGCCACCAGGTCTTGTCTGGTTTTGTTATCTGAACTTTAAATTGACTTTCCAGAAACCACACCAAGTAACAACAGAGCCACAAGTGCAGCTAAGATATTCTAATTCAAGTCTGGTATTTATTATTTGCTAGTCTTGCTAAAAACCTTACCTTTGAAAATGAATGAAACCGTCCACAGGTTGGTGGAAACAGAAATGGGAAGGAAGATGTAGACTGAGTTCTAACTAGGATCAAATGAGACCTTATCTGGGTCAAAAAAGTAAGGACAGAGTTCTAGTTGCTGTTTTACCCAGAGCTAATTCTGTAGGGTACAGTTGGGACATATTCAAAGAATAAAAGACGACAAAATAAGATGAGTCTGTCCTAGAAACTAAAATCCTATTAGTTATTTTGTACCTGGATGCATGGCTAGCTAGTAAAAACACATTGTAAAATAAGCTATTTCTTAAAAACCCAGCAACTTATATATACACACCTTACATTAGATGTAGCTTACCTGGGGTGCCCAGCAAATTGTTGTCTCTCATAAGTCTATAATCTTCTTCACTCAGATTGTTTACAAATTGATAGAATGCTTCTTCCCTATCCAATCGGTCCATCTGACTTCTGCGCTGTGCTGCAGATTGATCATTTCCTTTATCGTTAGAATCGGAGTTCTCCATCTTGATGAACAAGTGGAAAATTATCTAAAAAGAGAAAGACCAACTTGAAAACAATGTCAATATGTATTCCATAATTTTATTTACATGGAAATCGAGAATGCAGGTATAGTGGTGAATTTAGGAAAAACGAATAAATGAAATGTAATAGGAAAACTCTGGAAAAACACTGTTACACTAGAAGAGTAGGTCAGGGAATTAGCAAACTATATGCTTGGGCCAAATTCAGCAATGTGGTCTGTTTCTATTTTCTTTGTAATCTAAAACTGGTTTTTACATTGAAGTGCTACAAACTGAACCCAGGGCCTTGCCTGCATGCACTCTATCATAAGGATACACATCCAGCTCCTGGGTTTTATAGTTATTTCCGTCAGGGAAATCTGTGTGGTCCAGTTAACTCAAAACACAGCTCTCCTGCCTGAGCCTCCTGAGTGCTGGGCTTACAGAGGTGTGCCATAAAACATGGCTACTTGCACGTTAAAAAAATGTTTGTGATGTATGAAACCTATGAAATACACACTTGGGCATTCACAGTCTTACTGGAGCACAGCCATGCACGCTTGTGTTATAATGGCAGAACTGAACAACTGTGACAGCCAGTAAATGGGTCCCTCACTGCTTTGCACTGCTGCTCTCTGCACTTCCAGTTACCTCAATGCAATTGTAACTTGACAGTCTTTCAAGTACGGCATGTGTGTCAGCCTGTGACTTTTTAAAAAAAACGTACAAGTACACACTCACTGTGACAAGTGAAAAGTGTACCTGCACACTGGACATAAAGGTACAGCAGAGGATACCTAATAGTCACCAGATTAGCTGACCAAGGCCTCACTTAGGCATGTATTATGAATGTGCTAAGAGTGTAAAATTAGACTAAAATAATTGTCAAAATACTCCCACTACAGGAAACCTATGCTCTGCAAATGAGAAAACTCAGAGTGAAGGATTTCATCTAGAACGTCATAAAAATTTACATACCAGAGTATTATTCAGCTGTTAAAAAGGAAATTATAGAATTTACAGGTCAATGGATGGAGCTAGAAAAATCCATCCTGGGTGAGGTAACCCAGACTCCAAGAAAAATATTGTGTCTCCTCTCATATGTGGATGTTATGTTATCTTTTAAGCCTTTGACAGACATGTTTTAATCCATATAACCAGAGGTTAGGGTTAAGTAAGAGACTAGGGGGAAGGGTTTTTTGATTGTTTATTTTCTAAGGGGGGTGAGTGGAGTTGGGTGAGGGGAAACCATGGTCAATATATTATATGAAAAATATTTTCAATAAAAAAAGATAAAAATAAGGATTTAACCAAGTTTCCAAATGGCTTGTTTTTTCCTGTGTGAAGAAAGTCATTTTATCAATAGGAAATGAAATTTTGTTCAAGGGCAGAAATGTGTATGAAGGAAATGAACTTGTTAGTATTAGCCTTTTGATTAATACAGTTCTACAAAACATCAAGGGTACTGAACAGGCTGTCATTGACCATGCAAGTAATAGAGTGGCTAGTGATGGGTTAACAAATACAACAGTGTTCAAGTGTTTTTTCCCTAGACCAGTGCTGATTATTCAAGTATAAAGTAACTGTACAACTAGTCCCACGAATAGTTTCCATGAAACAACAGGTGAAAATACAGCGTAGGCTTGGCCAGGTGGTGGTAGCACTCACCTTTAATCCCAGCACTTGGAAGGCAGAGGCCAGCCTGGCCCACAAAGGGAGTTCCAGGACAACCAGGACTGTTACACAGAGAAACCCTGTCTCGAAAAAAACCAAAAAGAAAAAAAAAATAGCCCAAGCTGGCCTTGAAGTATCAATCTTCCTGGCCTAGCTTTCTGAATGGTAAGGTTGGAGGTGTTTTAAAAGAAGTTGAGTAAACACTTAATTCAGCATAACCTAAAGCAGACCTGCCAAGATGATTTATAAATGAAATGATAAAAATATAGGTGGGGGAGGAAAAAACCTGGTGGAACATAAACAAAAGTTTATGAAAATGCAAGATGTTTATAAAGCTTCTGGTTAACCATTTTATTTTCCTCAACAAGTACTTTGAATAAAATATTAGAATCCACCATTTTAGTGAACCAATAGCGTCAATGGAAACCTCATTCTTGTGAATTTAATCACCTTTGGTTGTATGAATTTTTTTGTCAAAAAAAAAATCTTTTTTTTTTTTTTTTTTTGAGACAGGGTTTCACTATGTAGCCTTGACTGGCCTAGAACTCACTTTGTAGATCAATGTGGTCTCAAACTCAGAGATCTGTCTGCTTCTACCTTCTGAGTGCTGGGATTCTGTTTTGAAGATACGATCTTATCTTGGAGCCTATGCTGGCCTTAAACTCATGGCAATCTTGCTTTATATGAGCCACAGGCTTAGCCTTTCCATATAGCATTTTGAAGGCTTAACAATGGTTAGATTCTATTGTGATTTGTAGGACTTGGGTCAAAGATCAATTTTTTCTTAATGAGAACAACCTCTCATACTACCTTCAAAACACAAATGGCTTGAGGAATCAGTTTGGCTGGTAACTAATAGATAATGTCTCTTAATGAATAACAGGACAATCAATGCTTACATGCAAAACTTAAAGTCACTTTAACAGGAGGGAACACTGGTATCACAGGCTATCCAAGAGCTCCAACTACAGTTCCAAAAGTGCAAAGTGAATTTTCTCAGTGTCAACTTCACGCACAGGACTAGAGCAATGGCTCAGTGGTTGAGAGAGCTGGCTGTTCCAGTAGAGAACCCAGATTTGGTTCTGAGCACCAACATGACAGCTCACAACCATCTCTAACTCGATCTCTAAGGGATCTGACACTCTCTTCTTGGCCTCTACAGGCACCAAGCAATCACTTGGTACACATACATACATGCAGGTAAAAAACACCCATACACATAAAAAATAAATCTCAAAATAAAATTTCTATAGTGTGTAGCTGAGGACCTTCTATCTAGCCTTCAAGTAATAATATACTAAAAGGTACACTTGGGAACTGAATCGCTGAGAGATTAAAACCAAGCCTGTGGGCTGTTGAAGAGACTAGTACATGCGTGTGCAAAGGCATTTTCAAATAGAAAGCCATAAAACAAAAGAGAATATAAGCATAGTGTCAAGAGTTAACAAAAACAGGGAAGCCAGTAAGTCTCCCTTTTAACACAACAGTATAACAAGTCTGCCCCCAAACAGAGATGTGATCAGCACCTTAAAGCAAGCAAACTACCTGAATCTCTAGTCATATCATAGAGAAGTTAGAACAGACTGAATTCAAAAGACCGTCTGAACTACAATGTCATTAAGTACAGGTTATTTCTCCCCTTGTCCTGAGAATACGGTAATATTGAGCCATATGTTCCAATGACACAAAATTCTACCACTTTCTTGGCAAGGCCTATGGGGATAATATGAGACCCTGCCTCAAAACAGAACCAAAAGACCAGCTCCAAATTCCTTTTACTTCCATCGTGACACACTGCTCTACATTGCCCCTGCACTCATCAATACACATCTGAGCACTCTCTCCACATATTTCTGTAACGTACTTTTACTCCACAACTGCAAGCAAACTAGGAAGGCCTTGCTAAACAGAACACACACAGTGTTTGCTAAAGTAGTGGCTCCCATCAAAAAGTCTGCTCCTTATACTTATTTTGGGGTCAATTTGGGGAGAACCAAATCTGACTTGATTAATTCCCCACTTCCGCCCCAACTCTCCATCCTTTCTGCTTTAAATCTGCATTGGCTAAGAGTGGAATAAGTGAAGAGATTTCGGCCCTGGGAAGGCACATCCATCCTGCAGGGGCAGTCACATGGGCAGTTATGACTGCAAGAAGGTGCCAGAGCCTCAGGTGACTGCTTACATTTGAAATAAAAGGAACTTCTGAATGCAAGCAGTGGTCTCAATGCCTGGTAAACCAATCTTACTCTCAAATACTCAATGAACCCTGATTTTAAGGAGTCTTGCACTAGCTGTGGCACAAAATTAAGAAAGGTAATAAATGTAACTCACAAGTTCTATTGTTTGGGGAGTGAAAAAAGAACATTTTAAAAAGCTAAGGTATATTAAAGATGTTAGGGAACCATGATCCAAATAACCAAATACAGACTTTTCTCTACCTTAGTATGAAAATGTCAGTAAAATCATGTTAAAAATGGTTCTTCAGACAAATATGATTGAAGGAAATGTGATCTTTTCCAGTTGAACTAGTAACAGCAAAAAAGGGCTGGGGCATTTTGCTCAGTGGCAGAGTGCTTGCCTAGTATGTGTGAAGACTTGATTTCCTGAGGTGAGTAGAGGGGACAAAAAGGCCTCCACACCCTGCACTCCTTCCACATCACCAGAGAGGATCTTTAGCTATCACCTTATTCTCAAGGTTTACTATTTATGACACAGATCATATACTTTTACATATGATTAGCTTCAGACATTTTAAAACAATTATTTACTCAAAAGACTACCAATAAGCTGGGTGGCGGTGGCGCACACCTTTAGTCCCAGCACTCAAGAGGCAGAGGCAGGCAGATCTGTGAGTTCGAGGCCAGCCTGGTCCACAGAGCGAGATCCAGGACAGCCAGGAATACAACCTTGTCCAGTGATTTGTCAAAGCCCTGTGGACAATAAATGGTCAGCAATTAAATACAGGTCTACTGATTCCAAAGTCAATCAACTTCCCTCTAAATGACTACTGCCTCCCAGTAAATCCCAGACTGTGTGCTTTACGATACATTCCTTAAATCCCAAACGGCATGCCTACTGAAGCCCATGGGCTTTTTATACCAGTCCTTGGATAAACACTTTCAAACCTAAAAAGCCTTTTTGTGGTCCTGAGGATTGAACCTAGGGCCTTATATATGCAAGACAAGCACCCTACCACACTGAACTACATCCTTAGCACTCTGAGACCTTTTCACTATTAACTTCCTGCCTCAACCTCCAAAGTAGCTGGGATTACATCATGAAGCCCATTAACAAAACAGATTGGTAATCACTCTTCTACTGAGTTATATCCCTAGCCCAAAAACCATCTTGTACTGGCACAAATAGCCAGATGTTCTCTTTTCTGATCTGCTTTTGGAGGGACATGGGGTCACTATCTAGCCTAGTCCCATGTCACCATGCTGGCTCTGTAATTCTCGGCAGTGCTGGGAATGGACTGTGCACATTAGGCAAACACTCTACCACTGAGCCAGCCACACAGCTCAGTTTGCATTCTATTTATTTTTTTCCACTTTTTTTGTCAATAAAGTACTAACACCAAAAGAAAAAAACCACCTGTTTGTTCAACCATAGCCAGGTATGATGATGGGCGCCTTAATCCCAGCACTCAGGGCAGGCAGATCTCCGAGTTTGAGGACAGCCAGGGATACATAGTGAAACTCTGTCTCACTATGGTTAAAATAGGTTTAAACCAGCTTGGCGATGGTGGTGCACACCTTTAATCCCAGCAATCAGAGGTAGAGGCAGGAGTATCTCTGTGAGTTCAAGGTAGCCTGGCCTATAAATCAAGTTCCAGGACAGTCAGGGTTCTGTTATACAGAGAAACCCTGTCTTGAAAAATCAAACAAACAAACAAGTTAAAGCATGAGATAGGCCTGTGGCAAAGGTCTGTAATCCTAGCTAATAGGAAGACTAAGGCAGGAGGATCACAAGTTCAATGCCTATCTATGCTACAGTTAGTTTCAGGGTAGCCTAGGCAACTTCATGAGATGTGATCTCAAATTACTAAAGAAAAAGTAAAAAGGGGCTTAGGGCTAGAACTTAGTAATAGAACACTTGCCTGGTATGCATAAGACTCTTACGTTCAAACCCCAGTTCCACCAAAAAATAATATACAAAATTAAATCAAATGATCTACTAGATTTGAAGTCAGGATAAAAAGTACCATCATGTATGTAGATACCAAAAAAGTTAAGAATTTTCCTTTGTAGAATTTCAAAGTTCATTAAATTTGTAATAGATAAATGGATGGAAGTTTAGCTGTGCTTTTCTGTCATCTCTCACTTTTAAAAATATGAAGCATTTCCCCGCCCCCCCCCCCAAAAAAACCAAAAAACAAACAAAAAAACCCTAAAAAAACAGGGCACTGGGCATGGTGAAACATACCTTTAATTCCAGCGCTCAGGAGGCAGCAGGCAGAACTCTTAAGTTCTAGGCTAGACAGGGCTACACAGTGAGACCCTGTCTCAAAACAAACAAACAACAACAAAAAGAAAACAAGGACAGAGGGACTAGAAAGATGGCTACATGCTATAGAGTACTTGTTACTCTTACAGAAGACCTGATTTGACTCCCAGCACTACGTAGTGGCTCACTACCATCAGTAACTTTGGTTCCAGGAAATCTGACATCCTCTCCTGGCCTAAATGAGCAAGAGTCATACAAATGGTGTGTGTGTGCGTGTGTGTATACACATATACAGGTAAAATACTCATACAAATAAAATAATCTAATAAAAAACAGGACAGGGTTGTTTTATTGCATTTATTTATGGGAAGATAGTGCTCATCAACCACATGATTTGTTGAAACATTTCCAGAAGTAGACTAGTAGAACATAGAGTGCATTCAGCACTACTGAGACACCACAGCAATGAGCTTACAGAGTACCTGAATAGTAACGGACACTTAGCTTCGCTTACACTTTCCTATCTTTACCTCTTAGAAAGGGTAGCTGAAAAATCCAAAAGGGATTCAGGAATGTCCCTCATGTCTAATCTCTTGGCAGGAAGAGAACTGACATGCAGTTCACAATTACAACCACAAGCCTCTAAAACAATTGAATTGAAAGAGTATTAAGAACTATATAGTAAAAAAAATTAAATGACAGAAAACTCTGCTATGCTACCAATTTAGAAGATCAAGTTAGTGGAAAGCCACTATGATGACATTTCACCCACTCAAGTAATTCAGACAGGAAATTTAATCTTCACCCAACCATTCCATGTTCCTTTAGTATTGTTCTACCTTGTTAAATCAGAATTTGTTCTCTATAAATTCAATTTTGAACTGCTGTTTTTATTATTCTGAAGAACTTAAAAAATATCCCATAGAGTCCTACGTTTATTTTAAAAAGCAATTAACACAAAAATCTCTGATTATTAGTAGTGTTGATAGTAATCGGTAACTACAGTACTATTTCAGGACATAAGATTTCCCATCAAGCTGGGACTGTGAAACACTCCTGTAACTGCAGCAGTTGGAAGACTGAGGAAGGAGGATCAAGGCTGGCTTGGGCTACACAACAAAATCCTCTTACCAAAAAACAAAATAAAAAAATACTTTCTCTGAAATACCTGGAGGATGAGACAGGAGGATTTCCATGAGGCTGCTATATAATTAAGTCCAGGACAACTTGGACTACAGAAGAGGCATTGCCTCAAAAAAAAAAAAAAAAACCACACAACCAAAACAGACTGGCCTATCACCTATATCGATCACTTAATTTTAGTTGAGGAAAACGATGTTAAGATCAAACATGCTGACAACTAAATCCTTCCTGAACCAGTGTTCCCACATAGAAATCCTGAGGGTGGGCCTTTAACCCTGGTCTGACCCATACACTAAGAACCTTTTATACCTGTACTTAGGTTATCATTAAACACAAGCATCTCTCCCCGCCCAGAAAGAGCCATTCTCTTCAACCCCCCTTAGACTGTCACAAGTTGCAAAGACAGTATAATCTGTAGATGTGCAGGTATTACCTTTAACCTACCTAAACACACATACACACACAATGTGCTGCTGTCTACTACAGATATTTATCCCACACATGTATCGGTGCTGTTAGGATTAATGACATTAAAATCTCAAGTTAGAGCATTGTATTGAAATATGAGAAAATCTAGAGCAAAAATGACAATTCATTTTTTCAGGTAGAAAACCCTATGTTCAAAAACATATATATCCATAATTGAGGAATCATCTTTGAAAAAAAACTCAGTTATTTAGAGGGGGAAAGATGAACTGCTTTACACCATCTAGGAAATGTCCCTATTCAAAGCTGAGAAAAAAAATAATGAAAGAAAAAACAGACATGGAACTATTACTATCTTAGCGTTGGTTATCAAAGATTCAAAGTACTATATAAAGTGGGACATGAGGATTTAGAAATCTCTCTTATTCAAAAATGTCAAAGAACTACACCTACAAAAGAAAATGTCCTCATCCTGGGCACTAACCCCAAAATGCAGCACCTCATTGGTCTAGTTTGGACTGTTATTTGCTACCCACTCAATGGTAAATCAAAAGAACAGGCTGCTAGTCAGTGAGGGTATTCTTTTTCCCGCTCCTATAGGACTATGGAAAAAGTATAGTAACACAATTCTATAAATGTAAATGCTCCACTTGACCTGCTCTTACTAAAAGCCTTACTACAATGTTTACTAACTGAAAGACAGCAGCCTAATATTTCTGAAGATTTCACTGAGCTATTTCTTTAAGAGTCCTGATTATAATTTTTTTTTGAGACAAGGTCTCACTATGTAGAACTAGGTGGCCTAGAACTCACTGTCTAGATCAGTGAGCTAGTCTCAAATTGTGGTGATCCTCCTATGTCTGCGCCCCTTTACCCCACCAAATGCCAGTATTCAAGATGTGGGCCACCACGACAGACTCTGATTTATAAAGTAAATTTATCAACTTACACCAAGAGCAGTAACAGCTGAAACATGAACTGTAACAAACCACCCAAATAATGCATAGTTGCTGGAAAACTCTCACCTGTTCCACTGAGGCAAACTATTTTTTTTACAAGTTAATGACAGTTTCTGATGCAGGATAACATACAGATTGTTGCTTTCAATTTCCACTAGTTTCCTGATGTAACTAGATGGCAAACAGGTATTAAAGTTTGTTGACTTCAAGTGTCAAATGAGAGTTCCACCACATACTAATTTTTAACAAATCACCCAACCTTTTCTCAGGGTAGTCCGTTTCCTCTTTAAAATAGTTAACATCTCCATGAAGGTCTGATTGTGAAGATTACAAAATAATACACGCCAAACCCAGAGCCTAGCACACACTCCTTCAAGAAAAGTTACTTATAAATGTAGCCTAGTTAACTATCCAGCAGAATTTGTTTAGGACAATCCAAGTTTGCAACTGTTTTTTAGAAGTACTTATTAATAATGTTCCACTTACTTTTAAGTGCCCTGGTTAGTGCAAGCAATTTATGTGGTAATAATAATGTGAAATGTTATGACAGAAATAATAATGATAATAATGACAGAATCAATTCCAATTAGAATACATACCAATATGGCTTCTTGAATCTTGAAGGGGGAGAAAATAAAATGGCAGACAAAATAACTCACATTTTATTGAGATTTCACTTAGTTATTCACTGAACATTTAAAAGCAATTTCTTATACCCAGGTCTTTCCAATAATGTCTTAAAACAGCCTAATTTTTCCTTTCAGTGCTATAAAAGTTTGGCTAATTTTAGATTACTTTTAAAATAAAATCTACAGCTAAAGCATAGGTGACTTTCAGGTACCCTTTGAATTCACAGTAAAGAGCACCCACCCTCATCATGAAGAACCCATTCAAACACAGGGACTGTAGAACATAACAACATATATTTGTAAATACATCATCAGGAGACGAAACAAAAAATAATTACCTGTCTGTTATGACATAGTACTCAAATCCAATAAACTGGGATTTAGTTTTCTTCACTCTGCTCTAGAAGAAAAAATTTCATTATTCTTCCTGTCATAGAATCCATACTTTCATTGAAATAAAACAAATTCTTAAAAACACATAACATGTATTTTGGTTACATGCATCATAACTCAAATTAATTCAATGTTAGTATTAGGATATTTGGGGAACCAAGAGGGTCAGAGGGAACCAGGAGTTAAAGATTTCCTTTAATGGCCAAGAGGCAAATTACCTTTTAATATTAGCTTGTTTAAAACAAGCCTTTCCTTATCAGACTAGTAATTATTTTCAGATTCTAAGAGTCACTTTCAAGGACTTATTTGGTACACTACACTAGCCTAAGGCAGAAACTACAGTAATAAAAAACATCAGGACATCTTAGGCTAAAGAATGTTTGTGACCTTTTTCAGTAAGAGGAACTGCCCTAAAATAGTTACTTTAAGGGGTGCTTGGGTTAGTCTTTCTAGATAGTTAACCTGTATTTCAGAAATTGATTTGAGAAAAAGGCCGGCCTGTAATTGTGCCTGCCTCCTCTCCAGACGACTCTGATCTGATGGGAAGATGAGTAACTTTGTAATTATGAAAAATCAAAGAAATGATTAGCACTACATTATTATTTTTTTCTGTCTTCAATCATCTAAACGCACTGTGGTTACTTATGATTCAAGAAATGTAAGCAACTGATTTCTAGTAAAAAAAAAAATTGTGGGGCCTGCCAGTGGTGCATGAAAATCTGATATAAATCCTTTTGCCCCTAAAAAGAAAAAAATGACCTTAATAACGAGTCTGCTAGGCCTCAGACTGCTACACTAACCTGTGGAATAAGTATGGTGAAACTGTCTAGGGAAAGAACGTGGCTGTCTCCTCCATCTTGAAATTAATCAGCATAAGGGGAAAAGGGACTGAGTATTCAGGAAGCAGAAGCCCAACCGGTTAATACTAGTTACTAAGCTATGGCGTACGTGGCAGGTACCGCCCGCAGAAGCTGAGACCCTTAGGGGTTTTTTGAGTGGGGGAGGGGTATGACTGCTGGCGGATCACACGGATATTAACTTGAAAATAATTTGGCTCAATTCCCACACTTACCCAGGGAAAACAACCCCAACGTCTTTTCCCTCCGTTTTTCTTTTCTTTCTTTCTTTCTTTTTTTTTTTTTTTTGGAGGGCGCGCGCGGGGCGGGGTGGGGGGGAGATCCTTCTAGTAATATCTGGCCAAGGATACACCAGGGCTAAAGCAGCAAGGAAGCAAACCAAATTTGTCCCGGGTCCTCGGGGAAGACTGACATCGTAGCCCCAGAGGGCAACTAATTGGTAATGCCCTCCAGAAGGGCTCAAAATGGGGCTCTGCGAACCCTGGGAAAATCTGAAGGCCCAAGAGTTCCCAACATCTGACTTACAGCACCTCCACCCGACTTCCCCAACCCCTAGCCCGATCAGCAACGCGGGGCGACGAGGGGGGAAACTCCGAGTAAGGAGAAGAACTGGAGCCGCTTAGATTCTCACGCCTGAGGCCCGAAGTCCAGGATCGCCTCCCCGGCCTTCTGAGCTTGGGAGGACCGGGCCGCGACTCCAGGGCCACGGAGAGGAAGTCCTCCCTCCCTCCTTCCCCTTCTTCCCCGAACCGGCCGCCCCACACCACCCAGCTAAAATGGCAGCGGCGACTAGGCCACGGAGCCCCCCGCAGCCACAAGCCCGGGTCCGGAGGCCGTGCTGGGTGTCTCGGCCTCAGCCGGCCACTCGGGCCATTTTGAGAGCCGTGGCGCCGCTGCCTTGCTCCAGCCCGACATCCCATTTCTCAGGCTGCCCGTGTCTTCACTTACTCGGGGATTCCGACCAAGAGCGAACTCGCTGGGCCCCGCCGCCGCCACCAAGGCTCCGCCGAGCCACTGCCTCCGCGGCTCTCTAGCCCGCCTCCGAACCTTTGGTAGAGACCCGCCTCTAGCCCCGCGCCCGTTCTAAGACGTAGCTCAAGCAGCCATTATCTTCCCCATTGTTACCTAGCACTGACAGGAAACGACTGCCCACAACAGGAAGTGATGGCGCAGCGTCCCGACTTCACAGGCCCACTCCCACACGGCTAGCCAGCCAATCCCAGCTGATTCCTCGAAAAGGCTTAGTGGGCAGAGGAGGGGACCGGTAGACTACCAGACGAGGCGGGGAGGCGGGGAGGGAAAAAATGCTGCTGTGACGCCCACCATGTGACAGGCCCCACCCTCCTTCGCCATTTTGAATTGTGGCGAGAAATTCGCGTTCTGAGAATTGTGGGAATCTTCGCTTTCCCATTTTGAAAACTGAAGGACGTCACAGTCGGGCCGCTTGAAGCCTGTTTCAGAGAACAGGAATGTCGTATCGGTGTTAAGGGGCATTGATCCACACAGTCCAGACTAGCATAGACGGCAGGCAGCATTTTATTTAACACGTATTTATTGCCAACTGTAGATCAAGCACAGCTGTAGATGTTGAGAAAGTTGAACCAAAAATAAAGTTGAAATAGTCTAGAAATAGAACTCTCAGTTCTTACGGGATTTGGTAATCTAGAGTGAACAAAATTTTAAAATCCATTATTTGTCGCTCGGGGGAGGGGTGCGCTGTAGGGACAAAACAAAATTTGCAATGTTAAAAAGTGGTGAAGAAGGACGCCACGAGGCTCTCTAACTTGAGTACTCTAAAGGGGCGGCGACTGTAAATGGATGGGAAAAATCTGAGAGCAGGGAATTCTAAAGGGAGGTTAGGGAAGCCTTTCTCAGATGCTAATGACTAAAGGAAGGAATGAAGGGAATGCACCATATAGCTTCCAGTTCCCATTGAACACTTAAAGGGGAAAAGAACCTTAAACCAGCGTTTTAAGGATGTCTCTGTGTCCCAACCCCCATTCTGTTTTCTGTTAAAAGGATAGGTACAGTAGCTTTTTTATTGTTTTTTTCCAACGGACCTAACTTATTCCTACCTCAACTGCTTAAACTAGGCTGGAAGCCCTGCTGGGATGGCGCACGCCTTTAACCCCAGCACTTGGGAGGCAGAGGCAGGGAGATCTCTGTGAGTTCAAGGCCAGAGTTCGAGGCCAGCCTGGTCTACAGCTCAAGTTCCAAACAGTCGGGGCTACACAGAGAAACCCTGTACAAACAAACAAAAACACCAAGCAAGCAAACATAAACTAGGCTGGAATATTTCTTTGATATTTTTGCATTAATCGTCTAGGTTTCACCTCACCTCCCAGAGAAACCTTCTGTGACCACCCTATTTAACCTAACAACTTCTCCAATGCCCTTACCTGTTTGTCTGTAAAGCACTTAATAAATAAACTGTTTATCTCACTATTTAAGAACACAATAAAAACCCCAGAACTGGGGAGGCTGAGGCAGGAGGACTGCTGAGAGTTGGAGGCCATCCTGGACTACATAGTGAATTCCAGGCCAGCCTGAGTTAAAATGTAAGACTTTTTTTTTAATGGAGAGTCTCTCTGTGAGACCTAGGCTGGCCTGGAATCTCCAATCAACCTTCTACTGTCCATGTACTGATATTTCAAAACTGCACTATTACTCACTGCTCAAAAGTCATGTAACTTTAAAAAGACAATTTGGTAATGTTTGCAAAAAGCCTTAGTGTATGTGGGCATGACAGTGTTTGCCTGTTATGCCAGCACCTAAGAGACTAAAGCAAGATTACAAAAAAATTCAAGGTCAGTCTGGGGTACCTAGAGTGTTCCAGGCCAGCCTAGGCTAGAGTGAGACTTTTTTTTTTTTAATGCTGGTCATAGTGGAGTTTTTTTTTTTAAATCTTTAAGTTACATTGTGTGTGTGCTTTTTGAGTCCCCCCCCCCCTCAGTGCTAGGGACCGGCCTTAGCAAACACGCTACCACTAAGTTAAACATCTAAACCCTAGAAAGAAGTCTAAATGGGCATACATGCAAGTAAAGTGTGATCATGATTAGCCATTTAACTGTCTTAACCTTTTCCTATATTGTCTTAAACATTTTACAATATATATGTGGGTTTATTTGGGGTGGTGGTGGTTTCGAGACAGGGTTTCTCTGTGTGGTTTTGGTGCCTGTCCTGGATCTTGCTCTGTAGAACAGGCTGGCCTTGAACTCACAGAGATCCGCCTGGCTCTGCCTCTCGAGTGCTGGGATTAAAGGTGTACGTCACCACCACCCGGCAATACATATGTGTGTGTGTGTGTGTGTGTGTGTGTGTGTGTGTGTGTGTGTGTGTGTGTGTGAATAGGTTTTAGAAGAAGAGAGCCATTTTCATTCAGAAGAAATATCTGTCTAAATATAAAAAGAAAAAAAGAGTTCCTATCCATTTTTTTCCTTCCACGATCCAAATACACACTTTGCCTTTGTTTCCTTCTACCTGTTTTCCTGTGCTCTTTCATAAGCATAAAGCTGCTTCAGGTATTTAGGAAATTATTCACTTTATTGCCAAACTCTAAATGCAGCCCGTGATGTCACTGAGTGTACTCTGGAACCACCCAAAACAAACGCTGAACACTTTATTTCTGTTTAGCATACTTGTTTCTCTCGTGCAACACTGAAATGTTTCCTAAAAACCCTTTCTTGATTACATGGCCTTTAGGGAAAAAAATAACATTTCCTGTGTTCCTCTAAATGGTCTGCTGATTGCTATTCAGATCTATCAGTAGCTATCATCACACAACAGACTGTGTAGTAAGACGGCATTGAACCAATATCAATGTAAAGAACATTGCAAAAGAGAGTACCGTACCAACGGAAATACCAAGAGAAGCTGCTATTTGTGCCTGAGATCTGAAAACAGAAAGGTGCCTCAGGAAAATAAGGGAGGAACCCTGAGAGAGGGAACAGCCTTATTTAAATATCCTGGGGTGAGAAAATGGAGCCTGAGGTACTGAAAGACTAGATGGTTTTCTCCAGCAAGAGTCTATTTTATTTTCTTCACAGCACTCACACATCAGAATTTATCTGGTCCGTTTTCTTGTTTATTGATTTTATTTGTATGTTTATAATCTGTCAGTCTTCCTGCTGGCTGGCTCCCACCCCTCCGACAGTAAACACCGTGGGAACTGAAACTTGGCTCCACCCCCTCACAGCGTATCTCCCGAGCTTAAAATACTAACAGGCACTCAATCAAATTTTTTTTTTAATGAATCAACAAGTTAGTGTGTAGGTCTTATTGCAGATTTTGGATCTATGCTAATAACAATGAAAATCGTTAGATCTTTAAGGAGAAGAGCAATAGAGCAATACTATCTGATTCAAAGTTTTCTAAAGCTCTTTATGGATGCTATGTGTTTGATTTTGATTTTGCCTTTTCAAAAAATAATAGTCAAATGAGGGGCTAACATTTACAGGTGCTGTGTGTTTGTAACTTCCTTTTTCTCTGTAGAAATAACTCCGCTGTTTTAAAATGTGATAAGTAAGCACTGTCTTTAAGACATTCCAAAGGTTGTGTGGAAAAATCGGCTACAGAATATTTACTTAGGTCAGGTACTGCCTCTAAGGTCTTTTAAGAATCTTTTGAGCAAGAATCATGGACCTCTTTGATGCCACCAGTGGGTACAGTATATGTCACCTTGCCACTCCACACACAGAGCCTCTGTCTCTGCCAGCTCTCCTCCACAGTGCTCTTTTGACTCCTCCTTTGGTCAGGTTGCAGCTTGGGTGAGCACAACAGAGACATTTCCTGTCCGGCACCTCATTTTCACTGGACGTAACATGCACTTGTTTTGCATTTGTAGATGGCATGTCCTCAACGAGAATGTCTATTTCATGAGAACAAGTACTGTCTCTTTTGTTTGCTTCTACATTCCCGATGCCTAGGGGATCCCTGACCCATAATAAATACTCTGTAACCATTTGAATAAATGAGTAAATGAAAAAAACATACACTGGTGAAAATCTTTTAACCGAAACCCATTACCTATTTCTTAGTGCTTCCATTTACCAGTTTACTTCTTTAGTGGCTCACAATAAAAGTTAAGATATGAGGAAGTGGATAAAGATACAAAGATAAATATTCATTGTTTTATTTAAATCAATAAAGTATTTGTTCATTGATTTTGGCATTAGAGATCAAACCGAAGGCATCTAAAGTCTTATGAACACTAAGGAAGAATTCTACCACTGAACTAGATCCCTAAGCCTCTTATTCATTCATTTATTCCTTTGATTAAGTCATTCATTCAACAAATACTGTGAGCCAATGCTCAGTGTTAGGCCTTGGGGCTATGCGTACAAAAGTTACAAGCTCTGTTCTGTTCACAGAGTGGAAGATAAGTGTCCTGGGCGGATGTAGTTTCATCATTTTATAAAGATGTGTGTTCATCCCATTGACTGCCCGGGAAACACTCTAGTTCAGTCACACGTGTGATTTGTTTGAGGGTACAGAAGGCATCAGTATGATCAAAGTAACTTACACGCATGCATGAAAATGTCACAGTGATAAAAACAAGAAAAGGTCAAAATAAAGCCTATTATTGTGTACAGTTGATACACTCTAATAAAACAGAACAAAAGACCGATTAGAAAGGGAGGCACACAAAGCACACACAGCCTGTAGAGGCCATTTCAAGCCCCCAAAGCTTTAAAAATGGTGTCTCTGTGTTAGCCTCATCCGTGGCAAAGCTTACAATTCCTGTTACTTCTAACGGCACAATGGCCCATTTTAGCTGGGACTATAGGCGCGTGCCTGTCAAACGTCCTGTTTATACTGGCATTGTTATTGAAAACTGTTAGATCCTTGAGAGCTATTATCTCTCTGCAAAGTTCATTGTGGTGCATATTGTTTCTCTCACAACCCCCCTGTAACTTAATTAACTGCAGTTGTTATCCTCAGGAAAATAAATTCTAGACTAGGAAGTGTTATTGCAAATGTTTGGCATACTAGAAATAAAATGAGTTCTGGCTAATTGCATTAATATTGAAAGAATTCGGAGTAGGTTTGTAGTCATCCCCCCTCCCAGCTGTTCCTGCAGCAATGACAGGGTTTTCTTTACACTCTGCTGTCTGGGAATTAAAAGGCAGCCTGCCTTAGTAAAGCAGCAGGATGCGCCTTC